GTTTAGTAAAGTTTTGAGATCACTGCAGAAGAGAGAGGGGATTTAGAACCTCGAAAAGTGTACCGAGTGCCTTGCAGGCATTCCGAATAGCCGTCACTTCAGCATGCATTGTAGGGTCGTTCATAGCCAACACCTAAAGTAATTTTGATGTAATAGTAATTAGTAATCTTATTCATCGTTTTCCTCTATGTATCGTCTTGTACTAACAGTAATACCAAAGGTAAAAGTGCTGGAAAGACTACAAGGATTTGTAGGTGCTAGTTTTCAATTACTAGTATAATTCAAGTGCTACTACTAGCTCGACTTGAGAGCCTTACTACCAAATGTCACGTTCAAATTTCCCGAAAAGCATTATATTTTTATTTACTTATTTGTTTTTATTTTTATCCTCACTAGTATTTGCCATATATTTCCCCATATATCTTCAAACCCTTATCCTATTAATATATAACGATAGGTGTGTGGAGTCAATAAGACCTTTTTGGGATGCGCCCGGCACTCGACCCCCATTTGGAATCGTTTTGAATCTGTATGCGGCCCATACAAGTGTCTTGCGGTTGTCAGCTGCAGGCAGCTGCCAACTTACCTCTACACCACCTGTTTAGAAATACAGCGCTTTCATATATGATTTTTCATACCTCATGTTACAACGATATTGGAGGATTTAAGCTTTTGGGTTCAACGTTTCGTGATCTTCAAAACGACGCTCAGTCGTAGAAGAGATTCTGGACCGTACCTTCATTTAAAAATGCAGGAATCTGGAAGTGCCCTTTTGGGATTCGTAGAAGATTAAACATGGCTTACAAAGGCGACCATCTAAATTTTCTACCCACACTCTGCTTACTTCTCTTTCATGGAGTTTTAATCGGACATTCGTTTTCATTAGGTGCTCCGACTTCTTCAAGCACCTACGCACATGAGATTTCAGTTTTCTATCGTGATGTTTATACGTGAAATTGGACTTCTACGTTTACATCGCCCATGAAACAAATATTTGCATTCAAGCAGACGCTTTTTTATCCTTGCGCCGTTTTTTCCGTTTTTTTTATGAGGCAAAATTTTCTGCCTGTTATCATCAACGTGTATTCTCGGAGAATCGTTCCATGCTAGACTGACCTCACAGATTGAGAGATATGGTTTAAAAACTTTCTGTTACTTTTTTCAATCCTGATAATATTCCTATTATCGCAGCCCATGAAAACCAAAATCGTTCTTTGGTCGATACGCACCGGAGAACGATTTCGGTTTTTCGAATCGCTTTTCGATTTGCTTGAATTTTTTTTACCATTGCAAAAGCGGTGTAGTTTTGATAAATACTGTTTATTTACAATAAACAGTTGTTTATTCCATCTTATGAGAAATATCTGGTCAATGAAGTATGAGCTCCGGATAGTTCTTATTAATAACTAGTTGATCTGAGACAGGGTGAATTGATGGGTATTTCCAATTGGCTATTTATCATCGCGGATCACGGACCGCCAGGATTGGACTACTACGATTGTTACCTCTCTGTACTCTATTACTGTAATTATTATAATAATTTCAATTGGTCCCTAATATAGAATTTTGTGCTGTAATGTGCAATCCCTCGAGATCTTACTTGTCCCTTGGATACATGGCTAGTTCCCTCAGATGATTTCGCGAGTAGAAGCAGTTGCGAATTCGTGATGTCCCGCCCATGCCACAAATCCCGCCCCCTTCCTATGAGAGAACAAGGGCAGTATGCGAACATTATCGCGATAACCGTCATGGAAACGTAGCTAGGAGATAACTCGTGTATGAATAACAGACTTTCTTAATGTCCGCAACAAATTCAAGGGGCGAAAACGAAGCAATCGGCAATTATATGAGTTTGTTGACGGCTGGTCGTAAATATAAGACCAATCATTAGCTTCGAATGTCCATGGGATAGTTGTAACAATAGGTCTCCAGAAATTGGTGATAAGCGAAACTGATTTCCTTTCACCTTTCACCACCTTGAAAGTGTTTCCCCGTTTCTGATGAAATGCCGATAAGGAACGAAGATTAATGACTGCAGTAATCAAAGTTCAAGGGCGAAATATGACATGCCTCCCACAAAGAAAACTCCAAAAACTGAACAACTAAAAGAACTAGAACTGATAAGCCTTCTGCGAAAATAGTTTTTATTTCGACTTTGATCAATTGGATCAGCTGATGAGACCCTACGAACTACTTATCGGAGATATAAAGATTCTAAGACATTTATAATTCTAAGAAAAATACTTTCATTGGAATCCCATCGAAAGAATTCGGGAAGTGGAAAACTTACCATGTTATGGCCAGTAGCGACGATTTTCCCATCCTTTACTACCACGGCTCCGAAAGGTCCTCCATCACCAGCTTCAACCCCCTGGCATGCCTCGTCTATCGCTTTACGCATGTACTGATTACCTGAAAATTTGTTTCAGTCATCTATTTGTTGAATATAGATGACATTGAACAATTTGTTAAATACATGGATAACATGTGTTTTTTAGTAATCTGAAACTATTTTTTATTATTAAAGCCTTGAAAATAGAAAATAATGTCTAATATTTTCTATTATTGGACAGAGGTGGTGTTGTGGCAAGTGGTAACTTCACACACGCATAGTCACTGGTTCGAAACTCGGATCGATATCCCACTAGGCCAACCAAGCCTTCCATCTCTGCGGGGTCGGGTAATTGGTAACAGGCTCATCTGGGAGGATACTGACTTGTTCATCGGCTGGCTACCGCAAGTCATTGTATAAGCCACATATGCATTCAATGACCACTACGATTCTGAATAGAAGTCTAATGGGGGACACATCCCTCAGACGGGATTGATTGACCCCAAACACTTTATCCTTTATCCTTTTCTATTAGTAATACCAAAGTTCACATGCTCGAAATGATTTGCCAGTAAGGATTTGGACGGCTCTGGAGGTCTCTTTGGGTTACACTTTCTGATTTTATTCAATACATATAGGAAACGGGAAACAAGCATAAATTTTGTCGATTTTATTAGCTGTACCCTTGAATTCCTTCAATGTCACAGAGAAATGACTGCGATGTTCTCCAAGGTATGCATTCGAACTAGATTACCTTTAGAGGATTACTGTGTAAAGCGAGAAAAACATCCGATTTATTAGAAGATGATCAGAACGTGGAAATGAGTTTCCTGAATTTTTTCCTATGTTTTTCCCCTTTGATTTGCATTTTTTTTGAGTAGGATTTATAATTTTTAGGTTCTCCACCAAGAAATGCCTGTTCAAAGCTTGTCGAGTCATTTATTTACTTGTGATNTAGTTTTTATTTCTGACTTTGATTAATTGGATCAGCTGATGAGACCCTAAGAACTATTACTTATCAGAGATATGAAAATTCTAAGAATAATTCTATGAAAAATACTTTCATTAAAATTCCATCGAAAGAATTCGGGAAGTGGAAAACTTACCATGT